GCTTCGAACGGGCCCATAAAAATGATAAATTTTAAATACCGATGCCGGATTTACATGGCAAAAATTTGCGCTGGAACGAAAAGAAAATGTTTTATTTACTTCACATCGATAGTGCGGTAGTGTAAGACCGGCAGAAGTGTTTACGTTGGTTGTACCGCAACATTGCACCGCCCCCTTGCTTTTAGTCGCTTAGAGGGCCATTTAAGCAGCCACGGCTCCATAATATTTAAGCGCCTCTTGTACATAGAAGGCATGACCGCCTCTTTGAGTGTTAGATTAAACAATGGTATATTCAAGCTCACACAAGGTTGCTAGTATCCATAAGCCAATGCAACCAAGACGAAATAGGTTATAACTCCGGAATGCAGCTTAAATGGCCTCTCTAGCCGACAAGAAGAACGGGACAGTGCAGTGTTGCGGTAAAACCGGTGTAAGAGCTGCTGTCGGTCTTGTACTATCGCAATAATGGCATGAAGTAAAAGGAAAACTTTCTTTTTTTACACCGTACGTTTTCGCCATTTAAAGCCCGCATCATTATTTGAAATTTCCATTTACCGGCGGTGTTCAAGCTCTCACTCGTGGAAGCTACCCCAGAACATCGGGGTTATATCTTATTTCATTTCGAAAAAATGGAATTCTGTTACCTTCTCACATCTAAAAGTAATTAGGAAGCACAGTTGAGTGTGGAGAAATGAACTATAAGATTATATTTCACAGGGTAAACTGCGTTAAATCGAGACCTTTCAGTGTTGACAGTGATCGGTCCAAGGCTGTGCCCTGCTCTCTCCTGTTTGTGTTGTACATGGAGAGGACAGCCAGACATAGACAGGGCGACTAATGCACCAACGTAAGAAATGCAGTGACAGAAAGTTTGCTGTTGGCATCCAACCTTGTTTCGTTGGCATCTTCTAAAACTGATGTACAACGCTATCTGGAAAGGTTCGCAGCCGAGTGCGACGTGTCCAGCATGCGTGTGAACGTATCTAAAGCAAAAAGCCTACTGCTTTCTCGTACTCCTCCCCGTTGCTCCTTTTTGATAAAGCAGGTGGCAGAATTCACTTACCTTGGGGGACGTGTTTGTTGATGATGGAAAATGAAAGGAAGATATCCACCGACAAATTTAAATGACCAATGACGTCCTTTTTGAACTAGCTGAATCGATGTGACTAAAGCAGAGCTGAGTCTGAAGACTGAGTTCTCTGATTTTAAGTTAATCTTCATTCTGATGCTCGTCTACAGTCATAAATCGTGGGCCATGACTGAAAACTTACATCCCGGGTGCCATCGGATGAAATTCGTTTTTTGAGACAAATCACTCGTTTCATCGTGGTCCGTAGTAGAGATATCTAAGAGAGGCTTGGTGTACAATTATGAGTGTCCAGAATGAGAAATCACCGCTGCAGTGGTTTGGTCATGTACTGTAAATCCTTTCAGAAAGGAAAGCGAAACTGCATCTACATGCCAAACCGACCAGTCGTAGAACTTGAGAACGACTAAGAGTAACTTTGGACAAGTGCACGGAAGGAGTCCGCTCCAGGCTCGGGTTGGCTTCTGCTGATGCTCAGACTTTGGCATAGAAGCGGTCACATTTAAACCAGAGCCTGACACGCTTGCCTTCTCAACCCGCAAGGGTAAGCGGTCGTCGAAACTGGCTGACTGCGGCTATACATGTCCGTTTACCACACTACTGTAGATTTCACCTCAGTAAATGAGGCATTTTAACCAAAGACCCAAAAACAGCTGTCAACTCCACACTACGAACTTCAATAGAGGGAGAACAGCAAATTGCGTTCATGATGAAACTGCGGTAGAAATCAAAATCCCAGCGTCGCAATCTTCCTTTCTGTATTTTGCTAACACCTGCTATCGGTAGCTCAGTTTGTATAAAATACTTCACTCTACTTTTTCAGTCATGTACTTTCTTATTTTCTTTGTCATCTCCGCCACTGACAGATGACTGTCTCAGACTTCT